TTATTAGAGTGACAAAACAAGCAATCAATCTACTCTACGACAGCGGGGCCACTATGCCAAAAATAATGCATCATTACTCATTTGATCCCACTTTACAGGAAAATACATTTCACATACAGCACCAGTGCAAACAGTGGGAGCAAACATAAAAAGCTTTTTTTTTTTTTTTTAGAAGAAGAAGAACATGATGTTGATTTACAGAAGGAGACTCTTATAGAAGCTCTTCTCTGCCTTGTGTTTGTACTATGAATGGTAATGGATTCACACATCCTGGTGGACCAGGATATTTAGTGGTGATTGTTGCTGGAAATTGAAAAAGTGTTTTCAAATTTGAGAATTTTTTTGTATTTTTGGGGCGGAGTGAAAAGCGATGCTATGTTGATGAATGATAGGAGATTGGCTATGTTTCAAAGAAGCACAAGCCCTACATCTATATCTGTTTAATGTGTAAATAGTGTGTCTTGTAACCATTGAGGAAATGTTTGTTTTTCTGAATGCTGAATATCCCCCTGCTGTGTTATAAAGATTTAATCAATCCTTAACAGCTGGTGTCCAGGTTTCTGTTGAGGAAGTTTACAGGAAAATAACCAAAGAAAATGTCTATTTAAATTGCTTGACAATGAATATTTAGACAGAATTTAAATAATTCCTTAATTATCATGAGTGATTTTGTTCTTCTTTCTTTTCACAGAACTGTAGTTATTGATTTACCAAATGTAACTTTGTTTCTGGCTTTCAAACTTTGAAAGTTGAAATACATCTCTTCTGAATAAAATATTTTATGTGAAATGAAACTACACAAAAATATGACAAATCTTGAAGTGTAAAAAACAAAACAAAAAAAAGTACAGGAAATATATGTGAAATTGAAGAGTTTTTCTTTTTTTTATTCAATTTAATTTAATGTAATTTCCTTTTTTAAAAGCTTGAAGAGTAAATGGGTTCTTCTGACAGAAGAATGATTTGCTTTGTGATGGTGTGCTGAATAACACTCACAATTGTGAGACACAGAAACACCAAATACCTGGAAAACACATGCTGTCCATTTGATCAATTAAAGTTAATCAGAGTGAGCCATAAATGGTGCCTCTGATGTGCCAATCAGTGTATGAATGTGTGTGATAAAGGGAAGAGCATCACATAGCTTCTACCACTGTATAAAAAATAGAATAAGTGTTCAATGTGTTAATGGGTTTGTGGCGTAAATATAGACAAGAAAAGCACAATATAAATCCAGCCCTTTTGCCATATTGGTCATCTAATTTAGAAATGTTTTATGAAATACATATTTTTATTATTTTAAAGAAAGTTATTCTAAAGTTTTTTATGCTGACTGAAAAATTCATGTTAACCCACCCTTTGGTGCGAATACATTTTCATATCTTGTATGTGTTTGAACAGCATTGTACAACTAGTTTATGGAAAATAATTAAATAATCTGATGTATGATAACTAAAATACTGTGAGCTTTGAGTTCCTTTTGTGTGGATGTGCAGCTAAATGAGAAAAGACCACAAAGTTTAAAAAAAAGCACATAAACAAACCATCAATAGATCCATACTAGTGATAATGAGTCTAACCATGAAATATCCAGCTGAGCATTTCATGGTAAGGTCACGTGCACATCAGTAGCATCTATTTATCACAGATCAATGGAAAGTTAAGGACTCTGGGAAAAAAGGGCGTTCAAGATCACACATACAGATGTACTAACACAACCCACAGACATGTTTGCTACTCCAGCTGATGGATGCTAAACAGATTCATCCTCACACAGTTTGACGGATACACACTGAAGAATGTCTGTAGTTTTTCCCTCACACAAATACAAAAAACTGCTTCAGGGTTAAAGTAGCAGAGAAAAGAAAAAAAAAAGGCCCAGCTGCTTCCTATTTAATGACACCCTGTCGGCTTTAAAGCCCTCCAAGAAACAGCAGGGTGCTCTGGCTTGTCACATAAAAAACAATAACACAAATTTCTACATCCAAACTGACACATAATAAACATTTCGAGGACTGTCACCATTTTATTTTTTCTGATATACAGCTTAATTAAGTGTTATATTACATGAAACAAGCATTAAAATTCTAATGGTTCTATTGTTGAGCCACTTTAGGATGACCATATTGAGATTAATTTTACTTTATTTAAATAGCTCAGGTTAACTACGAGCTCAGTTTGTTTCGATCATGACTGGAATTTTGCTGGATGTGTTTTCATGATGGACATTTAAGGCTGGCAAAATCAAACTGAGCATAACATCCTGTCACTGGTCAGTTTGTCCAGTTTTTTCGTTTCTTCTTTTTTCTATACATCTCTTATTAACAGTAACTTTGCCATACTTTGAATATACTGTAAAGTTTTCAAATTTCGACTATATTTACCTTCACACATTCATTCCCAACAGCATGCTACTACCATCTCCAGATGGCTATGCTATATTTATAAATTCTAAAAAAGAAATAATTTTCCCTTTGCATTGATACATTCTAAGAGTAAACTCTGCACTTGCTTGTATAACCACAAGTTTTACAGCTTGGCACTTAATACTTATGACCCAAAATCAGTGGTATAAAAGCAACGTTACAGTAATGTTAATTGCTGCCAGCAAGACTTGAAGACACCACTCTTGATTCTTTTGGAGGTATAGAGATAAATAAGCCTCTGTTAATGAGAATCAAATTAATGCCGAGCTTAAACACTCTTGCTTGAACACAACTCATCCAATGTAGTGTGGGGATTACACTGTGTAGTTAAATAACACCATTTATCTCCGGAAAAGCCTGAAGTGTGAGCAGTGGACGTGGCTGCTTGTGGTGTACATTACACCACACAGACAATTTTTTTTTTTCAACTGCTTAAGAGAAGTGACCAAAAATACCCAGATATTTTTGCATTCTGGTTTGTGTATTCAAAGAAATCTTCGTTTTCCAGGTCAAATGCATCCAGGCCGTGTTAAACAACAGCATGGATGAATAGAAAATAAATCAAAACAGTGCTAACGCACTTTTTGATTGGTGGTGCACTCGGGCTTTTGAATATCTGACTACTATCTAAGTGAAGAGAATAATGAATGGCAAGAAACTGGTAATGTACACTCTCACTGAGACCCATAGTATTACTCAATGATTACTAACAAGCACACATCCAAAAGATAGTCCAGAGCGATCGAACTGCAGAAGCATGATTCAGTAACATTTAAACACAAGAATACACACCCACATCACATTGACTCGATGTGTCAGTCTTCCAGATTCTGTTTTCTTCAGATACTTCCTCACTCTGACAGTTTGTGACAAAAAAAAATTAAATTAAAATAAATCCACATATGAAAAAAACAAACAAAAATGTGAGTAAAATTAATGGATGAAGGGCATTTCATTCACATTAAGAATTAAAAGAAGACTTAAATAATAAGATTCAGAATAGGTAATTGCTTAAAAAGAAAAGGGAGAAGCTAAGAGAGGCGGAGTAGAGCAAAGCACAAAAGGGAGAGAGAAAAATCCAGAGACATCGGCTGAGTGATCATTTGCGTCCCATCCTTTACTCTAGTGGCACAGAGCTCAATCAAATTCTCCTTATTCTTGCCCGGGTATTAGCTTAGCAAGCAGAGACCTTCTTTCAATCCCTCAATTAAATGCCCACCACACATAATTAACGACTGTTTTGTCCACAGATCAATAACGGGCCTGTTCATTAAAAGTCCCTTTGCTTCCTCAAAGATCCCTTTGCTTAGTTCACTTTTACATTTGAGGAGGTGCCAGTGCCAAACAGAATTTCTCGCTCCAGTTTCATATATATGGATTCCTGTTTTTTTCAAGCTCATGCGAGAAAGAGAAAGACGTTTTGATGGTCTGAAAGCTCGCAGAGCCTATGGAAAGCTTTTCAAACACAGAGTGAGGCCTAATGGGAACTCTGACATAGGAATTGTGGAAGAGGTCCTACCCTAGCTGTTCATCTAGTAGGAGCTCATAATAACAGTGTGCATGTAAAAAAGCAAAGAAGGGTGGACTGGTTTGAATTGTTCATGGAATTATATCTATCTTTTCTTTTCAGTATTCTTTCCTCAAGACTTTGAAGCCAATTCTTCACATACAGTGAGTACAACACACCATATACAACTTCCCTTTTTTGTTTCTGAATAGTTTATTTAGACTCTAAAGCCTACAACTAATATCAGTGTGTTAGGAGGCAACAACAAAAGATCTGTTTTCTCTTAAAAGATAAAATATCAATAACAACAACAGGCGGTGGATTTAACATGGAGCAGTTCTGACTGCCAGCCTTCTGTCCCACCCAGAAAATTGAAACAGAAGACCGAGCATTGCTTCACTCTCACCAACACACACGTATATGCACACAATCACACACACTCACACACACACATATTCCCCACTATAATGATAAGTGTATACTCTGCTGTTACCTCTTACCTCTCCCATCTGCCATAAAATCATAGCACCTCTGGAGAACAGTAACTGGGTTTTAAAAAACCTCAGTCTTACAGTTGGGTGTGTTTTTATTGCTTTGTTTTTTTTTTATGGGAATTGGAAAAAAAATCTTGGAATTAAGGTATGAAGTTCCTTTGCACCACTAAAAAAATTCAGATCAGTTTCCAAGGTGATTACTTCCTATCGTTGTTTTATGTATTGTTTTTTCATTTCACTTTTACCATGAGTCACTGTTCTCTGATCATCTATATGAGTAGAGAAAAAGGTTAAATATCTTCGTAAAGAACACACAACACTAGTATTCTTCTCATCAATGTTTTTCCCCCATGCGGTTTTTCATAGTCAGTTAAAGCCAACTGTGCATGTTCATGTGGCTGTGAGAGCAAATGCTCAAGATGAAAGAAAAATGGCTTCAATTGCAGTACAATCGTGTTGTCAAAGGAATGTTTGCAAACCAAGAGTTTCTATTTTTTCACGGCAGACAGGGGTGATGGAGATGATAGTGACAAAAGTATTACATTTTAGATCTAGCCAAGATATTTTTCTTACCCCGAAGCGATGTTTTCTCCTAAAGCAAACCAGAACAATGTTTCAGTGAAGTGCTAATATTAGTTGGTGTTTATCTTTTATCACAAAGGCCTATGGATAAAAGCAAAGGATAGCTTAGCCTCTAACATCTTTCTGGCTACTATATAAATATTTAAAAAATAACTTTAGCATGGTTAGCATGCTTTGATGAGAAAATGCTCAAATCTTGCCCTTTTACCAATCAAAAGGGTCCTGAATTACAGGCCAGAAGTTGAGAGCATATTATGTTTTCTGGTTCAGTCAGAAGACTGCATCGAAATGTTTTTTTTTTGTTTTTTTTAGCTGAATGTGTATCTTTTCTCAACGTTTATGTGCTGCAAATCATATGAAAGAGACTTAAATGGATAAATAAGAAAACAATGATAAAATAATTTCCACACATAAACAAGGCTGGTAAATGTATTGCTAATTTTGAAATGTAATGGCTGACATAGTTTAATGGCAGCATATGTCATTTGTGTTTCCATAGAAAATCTATGTCAAATCAAATCACACAAAAAAAAACACTCAAATGTTTTTTGAGGAGAGTGCTTTCAGAATGTTTAATCTATTTTTCCAAATTAGAGAAACAATAGAGAGAGTGAGGGTCCTTGTGTGTATGATAAGAAATATCACATGAAAAAGTGTCTTGATCTGTAATCCTTTAAAAACTTGAATTGAAATACAAACCCAAATCCAGACAAATCATCCCTTGAGTCATAGCTTAACTTCTCTCTAACTGATTGGAATCTGTTGTGCAGTTTGGAAAATAGCCAGACAAACACAGATGACAACATAAACTCCTTACGAGAGTGAATTAAGAAAAAAAAACATGGTTACTTAAACTAGCAAACATTTTCTATCAAACATTTCATACACTGAATATTTTCTACATCTGTCTGTGTGTCAGGACTCAATTTTTCAGAGCCAATTTACAATCCTTCCACCCTTGGCCACTCTTGCTGCAGATGGATTCCCTTGTGTAACATCTGGCAGTCTCTAGGCAGTGTGCATCCCTCCATTCACTCTGCTGCTCATAAGCTGGTGTAAAATTGCCCCTTTGAATCTTCTCTACAGTGGATTTCTTATTCGGAGAGGCAGCTGTTCCCTTCACAAAGTCAAAATCTCTCTTTATTTTGTGTAATGTGCTAAACACTGCCTCAAAAGTTCTTTCTCTCTGTTTCTTTAGATTGATGAATGTGGCACAAGAATTCTTAATTCCCCAGCTCCCAATGCTATGATGTATGCCAGTCTCCTGGATTATGAGACATATGGAGGCATATGAGCTCACACGCATGCGCAGATGAGCTCAGAAAGTTCAACACACAATCATGCCTCACAGACATAGGCATCAGTAAAGGCATGAGCATTTAGAGAAAAAATGATATATGTTTAAAAATGTGCTTTTTATACATTTCACAGGTCTGAACAGAATTTGACCAGAAAGTCTTTAACCTAGACAGGCAAGCCCAGCATTAATATTTCACATTAAACAAGTCCATCCAAATCTTGACTAGTGAAGGCCCAGAGCAGTTCTGCCCTGAAGCAAACTGTTCATCAAGATTTCAGTGGCTTGAAAAACTATTGACAGTCCTTGGCACTTTTTTCATTTTTTATTTGTGTTGCACTATTCAAAGGGAAACGGGGTTTTTATTTGTGGAAATATCTACAAAGACAACTATGATAGTCAAATTCAAATAGGTCAAATGATATAATTTTTTTCTTTGTAGTATGTACATGTGCATGTGTACATCTATAAAGAAAAACACAAGAGTCTGCAACACCACTGATCAAGATGAACCTGAAATGTAACGCCATAAAGACCATCAGCTCGCCAAACCGGTTAGGAATAAAGTTGTGGAGAATGACAACTTGGTGTAATGAAAAATATCCAAAGTCGTTAAAATCTCACCAAGTGCCGTTAAAGCCATCATCGCTAAATAGAAGGAATTTTGTGAATGTTAAATATTTTAACAGTTCTAATACAGGTGTACGCTTACTTATTAACCGTGTTACTTGATGCATTTTTAATGAACCTGCAGCAGTTGTTGCACAAAAAAAGTAATGCAGTGTACAGTGAAAATGTGGGGACATTAACACAGCTTCCCCAGCCAGATGGCAGCTCTTCTGCTGACTGTCATCTCGTCTGTGATCTATACCAAAAGGATCACTCTAAGTCCAACAAGTTATTGTCAACAAACCACGACTGTGTGTGTAGGGGCCAGTTTGTGAGTGTGTGCAGTAAATCTGGTTTTGATCATCGCCAAAGGATTTAAACCTAGTAATACCACATCCTGGCATGGAACCAGTGACATACTTTTTTTGCAACTCTTAGCTGCAGGTCCTCTTGGTGGAAGCTCTCTCAAAATCAGAACCAAAAAACTAACTGTTACACTGGAAGTACTGTGACCTTGTGGTAACTTTTACTGAATAATTCATAAGTAAAAAGTAATTTGTTTAATATTTTTTTCAAAAATAGAAATGACATCTTTAAAAATCTTTCGCACACACACTTCTCCAGAATAATTGAACAAATCTGTTTGTTTTGTTTTTTTAATTTTTTCATGTGTGTTTGAGTGATCAGTGATTGATGAGTATGGTGCAAATACTACTTTAAAGTAAAAGCAAAAAATCGCAAATAAAAATGTATATCATGTTCTTTCACATTTAAATCGGGACATATTCTATGGAATGATAGGGAATTAATCTTTAAAAGAATAGGGAAAATAATGAAATACATAATTCCATAAGTTATATGAATGAATAAAAGTGGAGACTTTTGATTAGAGCTGCATGGAGGAATAGTGGTTAGAACCATCACCTCACAGCAAAGGATCGCCAAGGGGGTCTTTCTGTGCGGAGTGTGAGTTTGTGTGTGCACGCGTGGTTTGTCTAGTACGGCTTCCTCCCACAGTCCAAAAACATGCGTGTTAGGAAAACTGATGTTCCAGATTGCCTGTAGGAGGGTTTGTTTGTGGCCATGTGAAGGACTGGTGACCTATCCAGGACGTAACCTGTCTCTCATCCAATGACAGCTGAGATTGGCCTCAGCTCAACCTGTGACCCTATTAGAACGAAGCAGTGTAGAAAATGGAAGAACTTCTAAAATCTAACGTTTTAGACATACATAGGTAAAGCTAAGTACTTCAGTCATAACATGCCAAAGACTACAGAGATTTGTTCAGAACTTGTGTTGCATCTGGTATTGGAAGCAGAGTGTGTTTCAAAGAAATGATCAAATCAAACGAAAGAAGGAATAATAGAGCAAAATATGTTACTCACTGACTATAGGTTTGAAGCGAAAGGCCTGGGCTTTTCAGCAGCCTGAAGCACAATTCCAGACAAAAAGGGCCAGTTAAAAAGGACAAGAAAGAGTTTTTTAAAAAGTGGGCAACAATAAGTCGTGACCTAAATTCCATTGAAAAACCCTCAGAGAGGTCTGTTGTAGCAAAAAGGCCCCCTGCAAGCTTAAAAGACCTTGAACACTGATTGAAGACTGTCTGATATAACCAACAGAGAGGTCCAAGAAGCTATTTGTTGGATAAAATACTGAAAAAATTTAAAGTCAGTGAAAGAGGTAAATTATTCTATACGAAGCACATTTTTAAAATGTTTCTATTAAATGTTTCACCATACAAAAACCTTTCATTGTTAAAGCATTTTAATTACTTTGAATATATTCACAAGTCTTAGCTTGCACATAAAAACCTTCTCTCACAACTGGTTTCTTTAAGATCTATACAACAAGGCAGACAAATATTAATTATAAAGCTAGCTAGGTCGATATTTATTTAGGGAAAACATATGAAACAGAAAGATGTCTGAATGTGCGTAAGGCAGTTTTTTAAATTCATGTTATAGGTACTATAAAAAAAGCTAATTTGACAAACCATATACTTTAGCAAGCCGTCAAGTTTAGCGACTGATAAGTTTATATTTCGAATGGAATTTAGAAAAGAATATAATAACTATTCTCAGTGAATGGCAACTACTGGCAAAGGTTTTTAAATGCCAACATGGACTAACAACAGACTGAACCTCTGTACAAATTCACTCATAACCCTAAATGGTAGCATTAGAATAAAATGTTTAAGTGAATTTCAAGCAAGCATTTGGAATATTTTTTAGTAATAGATACTGTGAAAAACCCTTTACATGTGAGTGCTGGGAAAACTATGCATTATACTGTAATAGTTAACTATTATGCAACACTTATCCACAAGCTGAACACATGTGGTCTCTTCAAAGAAAAAAATCTATTTACCATAAATCTACTTACTTTGAAAGTTGCTATTACCTCAAAATACTCAAAAGAATACCTATATGTCACTTTCTTTATCTTTGATTCTCCATATTGTCTTTGAGACGAACAGATGTTTTCTATATTACCGTAAGTCTATAGCATATTTCTTTACCCTGATCCATCTAAACCTCGATCACATGAAAGCCATAACACCTTCATGAGTTTTAAAATTATACTCAGACAGCATAAGCCTGCAAGTCATTTCAGCGGGATATCATCAGATTCTTTCAGGTCATCTATGCACCATGAAATGACAGACCAGCAAGTACACTTCATACATATGAAAACCTCAGTGGCAATGAAACCTCCTTCTATATGTATCAGATTATAACGTGCAGTAAATTCAATACATCTGATGGTAGATGTTTTCAACTAAATCAAGCAAATATCATCTCAATATTTGATCCTTCATATGGATAGGAACTCTCATGGACCGGACTATATGTGTAGAGATCTCTCATTAAACTTACACAGTCTTTTCCAAAACATATACACAGAAATACACACACTCACCACTAAACCTTTTAACAAAGGACAATTACAGATATTGATGTTGTTTTGCTATTATGTGCAGATAAGCACATTTTCAAATTCCATAAACACTTTATGCATTGGGAGATTTTGTTATGATGATGTTTACTAAAACTTACCTATGCACACATGCATATATACGCCTGTATTTGGAACTCTACCAAGACTAAAATCTGTAATTCCATGGCTTGTCACGCAATCTCTGTCTGCTTGTTCCATTCTATGTACTGGAATAGAATGAAAGGTTAATGGTTGTTATCAACGCCATTTGAACAGCCTGACAACAAAATTACATGGTGTGCATTTTTCCTGTTTTTATTCTAACAAAAAGTCTCTCTTTTATCTAATCGAGAACAACATGTGCATGAAAATGGATAATGACCAAACAAATTAACCAGCCTACCGGTCAGTTTACTAATGGCTTTTTTAGCCCTTTTTTAAATAATTCAAATGGAGTTTAGCAGACCTTGTTATCTCATAGCCTATGGTATATGCAAATCACCATCACCTTCATCACACTCACCATCTCATCACAAGATGACTTTGCTGCCTCTCTGTGTGAAAGACGGCTCTAAGGTCCTTCAGGTTGTCTTTTTAATGCCAACCAACACTTATCTCTTCAGCTCTGTGTCTCTTCCTGGACTCCTGAAAAAACAAAACATACCCCGCTGTAGTAAACTTCTCTTTTTTCCTCAGCTAAAATGAATACATTCCCAAGTTAGACTTTTTTTAATGGGAAAGTAAAGGGGCAGGTGGAGGGATAAAGGAGGAAGAGGTAATTTGCTAATGGAATGTGGAAAGAAATGGAGAAGAGTGAAGATAAAAAGGATATAAAGAAAAAGGTATTGAAAAAATGATTTGGTCTCCACGGAAGAAAAGAGTACGCCATTGGACAGGTGCAAAAGTGGTTATGAAGACACCATCTTTAACTGTCAACTTCACCTCAGGTACAATGATAGGAATGTGGGATGCCTCGGTAAGGATAAGATAGTGGCAGAGGAAGAGTAAAAATCTTCATTTAATTATCTGCTGCTGCCCCACACATTGTCACCACAGACGCACACATACACACACACATACACACACACACACACAGACCTCAAGGCCAAAAACACGAACACACATACACACCAGGAGTCGCTTTGAGATTGCCGTGCAGCAATTTGACTGTTAATTACTATCTTACTTGAGTATAATCACCCAAGCTTTTTCCTAGTGATGACATTAAAAAAATGTAAAAAGTCCACTGAAACTCAGTTGCCCTTTAACTGTGTCCAGATTAAAAGCCTCAGATGCTGAGCAGGATGAAATTCAAAGGTTTAGGCCTCTTAATTTGTGGACCATTTGTCTACTGTATAGCTAAAATTGGGATTATTTGATCTTGCCAGATATTGTTTAGTTAATAGACTGAATTATTTCTTAGATCTAGCAATTAGAAACACATATACACATATACTGAAACTGCTTATATTCTATGCAAGCATATAAAACAATGTTTTGTAACAACTGAGGATGCATTTGGACATTTCTTAAAAGATTATGCATTTTTTAACATCAGTTATCTTAAATACATTATGAACATTCTTAAAAAAGTTGACTGTGCAATTCACATTCCAGATGCAAAAGGAAAAAAATTAAGCTGAATACTAAATATGCAAATCCATGTGGAGTAGAGAGTGTGCTTGCAGAACTTAATGAGCTGTTGCACCTGGTTAATTGAAACAAAACATGGTCCAAAAAAAATCCCCTATTACAAACTAACAAACTAACTCAACTTGTGGAAAAAGATGCTGGTCATTGTCAACTGTGTCTAACATCCAGAGCAAGAACAAATAAAATAGGAGACACACAGGTGACACGCATTCTACAGAAGAATGTAGATATTACATTATGTTGCTATGTTTACAAGGTGAGTGATTAGATTTGGTGATAAAAATATGCTGTTATTTTTTTTGTTTTGTTCTGTTTTCATTTGATGTAATTTCAGTAAAAAATATAAGTATTAATGAAAGAAACGGGCAGATTATCACATTCAAACTTTCAGGGAAGAACTGTCCATCTGCTTTCAGCTTTTGTTTGGTTTGTTTGTTACTTTAATTTCTTTAAATAATTGAATGATTAATTTTTCTATTTCTTTCATTTCATTAAGGGAAAAAAACTGCAAAACTTACAATTTTATCAACATAAAATTTTCAGCTTTCTCAGGAGCCGAACAGGATGAAAATCACTCTCAAGGTTTAGTCTTAGGTTCAGATTTAGCACAGTTTTCAAACTTGAAGATTACGATCTCACATCTGTAGTAAAAGCTTTTTGTCGAATAGCAATCTAAACAAAAAGAAGCCTCAAGTCTCCCCATCGCATCATCACACCCCTCTTTGCAGTCTTTGAATTAATCGAGTGGACCCCTTGAGAGCATAAGACACGGTCTTCTGTGAAGCAGCCATCTCAAATCCCATGCAGCCTTCCCACCTCCCAGTGTGTATATGTTTTGCTGCATAGTGAGGCTCTCGGGGTGTTTTACACTGATTCCCAGGAGGCAGGAGTCTATTTATACAGGATCTTAAAACAGGATAGTCATGCTCCCTCCCAGCCCCACCCTTAAAGCAGCAGCTCTCGGTGACAGCGCAGACACACTGCCACGCGATAGTCCGATCTAATCTTTAAATCACTCCGGTAACTTCATGTCTTCCGGTAAGATGGGGCTAGGTAGCGGGGACGGAACATGGTCTGCAGAGATATGATATGATCCTCGAACACATGAGGAAAAAAACACACACAAACTCACACGCACACTTCTAGACCCTGTGCCGCTCCGCCCCACCCTCACAGTGCTATGGCGAAGTCTGGTGTATCTGTGGGTATTAACAGATCAGCACAGAGCAGCAGCCACCCTGCTTTTAAGTCTTTTCTTGAGGTAGTGCTTCAGAAGCCTTCTGCAGAGGAGGATAAATGCACAGAAATCCCCCAGGCCCAGTGCCTCCTTTGCTCCATTCATTTCTGTCTTTACAGCCCCCTCCTTCTCCTCCTCTCCAAGTTTATCCCTACTTTCCTTCAATCCCTCATTATTTCTGTACCGTTCTTCTTCACTGTATTTAAAGCTTTCTATTGCACCCTTTTGTTCCCACCTTCCTTTTGCTCTTTTTATGTCCCCTTATCCTGCTTCCCTCCCATTTTGTGTCTATTCCCTTCTTGATCTCTTGCCCTCATCTCGCTGCCCTTCTCCAGACCTCTGTAATAAACTAGGCTTGCACTGCCACCTTAGCTCTTTGAGCACAAGCCAAGTTCTTGAACTTTTAAGGCTTGCCTCTCATCTTTGCAGCCGAGAGGGACATGCTCTCCTGATTAATTACCTCCCAAGTCTTAGGTGAATAGTCGTTCATTAAGAAGACTATGTTGACAATTATCTCATCCTCAGTGTTGCTGCTAAAAACACACAAATAGTTGACAACCCTTTTCTCTAAAGTTGACACAGGTAACTTTCAGACTGTTAAGCATCTGATGAAAGAAAAAAAGTGAAGGAGAGCCTTTTTGTTGGGAATTTGGTGAAAACAATACAAGGTCAAGATGTTAGAAAGGCATTTAAAGGCATTTAAGAACTTACAGAGTGTAAATTCAAATGAATGTTTAACCTATTATTAATATGCAAAAATGATCAGACTGTATCATCTGTGTCTGTTAGTCCAATTTTTAGAAGCTTGACCTTATAAGTCATTAGTTGCAACTCATTAACCAGCCTTTAAAAAATGTATATATATATTTTTAACACTCATTTCTTTATTTTTATTATGTTATTTAAACACACTTACTGTTTCAAAACTTAATATTTGATTTTTTAAGAAGAGGTATCATCTGATTGTTCTGTACAAGAAACCTCTTGTTACTAACAATGTCATCAGACATAGTCTTATGTTTAGAGGTTGTTGGGGTTTGGTAATGAAGTTAAACATGACTTTCCACCCGGACATATGGATTTGTACTTTGTCTATTGGCTACTGTAGCCAATGACATTGCATGAATGTTGTTTTATCCTCAAGGGAGGATCAATCAAAATGTTGTGACATTTGCTATAGTTTGACTATTTAAAGTCAGCTGGACTTGATATGAAATATAGAAACTATGTGCCTTATAGGGGAATTACCTGGTATTCCTATGTTGAAACACGTTTTCAATTTATTTTCTGTTACTACTTGTCATTAGAATTAGACAGCCTGAGTCGCCAATGATTTGTCACTTAAACAACATACCACTTCCAGATCCCTGCACCTGTATCCACTCATCTACATGTATATATATATATATATCATCAACAAGTCCCCTGGGGGACTTGAAAGTTTGTGCAATTAAAAAAATGGAGCTACTACTGCACTTATTTTATTGCTCTGATACTTTGCCAAGGTGTGAAGAGAGAGTGAAAAAAAAACACTTATCCTTGCAAAAACGTGTTTCTTTTTGGGAAACATGTTGGTATATAGTAGTTATTATTCCCCTATTACAATAAAAGTATTGTTGCAATGTAAATGCTTATCATCATTGTGTGTAACACCAGAGTAAAATAACAACAAATAGAGGGTCAATAGATTGTTAACTGTATTTGATATCGAAAACTAGAAAGAGAAAGTCAACTAAAGTCACTTTAAGCATTCATATTTACAAAATGGAAAAGAGGGAAGACTGGCAGTGAGTCTTGGGAGGAATAAGTAGGTTGAATCCATATTAAGATGATCAGAACTCACTGTGAGATAATCTAGTTATATGGATAAAGGACATCCCTATGGCTAGAAACACACCAAGATATGACTTGATGAGTGTGTGTGTGTGTGCGTGTGTGTGTGGGTGTGTGTATAAAAGTGGAAAATAAATTGTATTTGCAAAACTCTTTCCCAGTATTTATATCTGTTTATCTGTGTTCAAATATGCCCATAGATTCATGAGCCTCGAAAGCTTTTTTTTAACAGCTAACGGTTGCCATATGTGTTTTGTACTTTACTCACTCACACTTTCAAATAAAATCTGACATCAAGGAGTGACTGAAAAGGACAGAAATGCGTTGATTCGAAAGGCAAAGCTACGCTAATGACAGACATGCTGTCAAATATGGCACTGTTGTTCTGACAGTGTTACAACACAGCAAGCACTGTGTGTGTAGGCCTGGCTGCTGAATGAGTGACAAAGGCAAAAGAACTGAACCCTTCATGCTTACAGAGAAGGATTCCAGAGGCTTTGTTTTGCTGTGAAAAGCGTTTGGCTGACAGGAACTTGGAACTTCTTCTTCTCCCTTTTAAACAGGATGGGCAACTGACAATCAGAAAAAAGTTGTCCTGAGTGATCAATCCTTTCCTTTTTTCAGCCATAATGGCACTGGTATATTCCCTTGGCCAGTCTAAAGTGCCACTGACTGGTTTTATGATCATCCCAATGGTGCAACCGATGTTATATAGTTTCCACTCCACGCCCAAAACATGAACAGAAGCACAATGTTTTGTAAGACTGGGGAACCATTCCTCCACCTTCACTTCAATAAACCTTTCTTGTCTCACCGGTGTGAGTGTAGCTACAGACATAGTACAAAGACTGAATATGGGACTCTTTTCACAATGGTCTTACACACAAATGGTCAAAGTTGGGGATCAAATGTACTGACATACTTACAACTTCAATGTTTCTCCACTGATCAATTATGGATTCCTGCCATGTCTTAAGGCTCACATACAGAGGGTATAAGCCATAGAAGTGCTATTATTTTATCATTCATAATCATAACACCACTATATTTGAACATAGGGACAAATATATCTGTTACAAAACAACAATGCTGATGTACACATACACTTATAATACTGTATTAAAAAATGTAATTGTTTTTTTTTCACATTTACAGAATAAATGGGATAAATAGAGTATTACCGGCCCCCCTTCTCATCGTATTTACCGTACAACAGCTGCACCGGTTTGCAGTTAAATCAAGAATGAAACTAAAATTCCTCCGGCACACCTCGCCGCTCCTTATCTGTCAGATCTCCTGGACACTGCGACCTCCTCCCGTTCCCTCAGGTCATCCTCCTCCACCCCCCCCGCTGTGCCCTCCAGCCGTCTCAGCACCATGGGTAGCAGAGCAAACAGCCCGTCTGCACCCCAACTCCCACCAGACATTCGTAACATCGACTGCCTCCCCTAGTTTAAATTAAGATCCAAATTCAACTTTGCCACATGTTTTTCTTACTGTATTTTATTTGTGGTATTCCATCATCTTGACTTTGGAGAGATGCTTCTAAACTAATTGAGAGCTGGACTGACTGGCATGCATTAAAGTTGTTTCATGCCTTCAATCTCTGAAGCCCTTTATCTTTTGCCTCTTTTTGTTGTTTTTTAGGTGCTTCTTGCTGTGAGTGACATGAAGGTGGATTTAGATGATGTAACACTGACTAAATTCTTTTGTCCAGTTGAGGACGGGTTTTGTTTTGGCTTTTTTTTGTTTGTTTTTCCGGTAAAAGTCAGAAAAAGAGAGCACTTGATTCACCATATTAGTTATTCATATTTCAGTCAGTCATGTTATACTATGAAAGTTTTTACATACCTTAAAGCCCTCAGTTGAAATACAGACATAAAATGGCAACATATTGTATGTTGAGCTTTTGTAGCCTGTGTAGAGAATCATCCAAAACTTTGTCTTAAAATACTAAAAAAGTAAGTCAATCACATTGTCTTAAACTCTCGCGTCCATCATTCTGCATAAAACAACATCAAGGGTAAATAATTATAGCGCTGTCTGTCAATGGCCATAATTTAAATTGTTGTATAAATGCATTTACGAGATTATTTCTTTAAAAAAAACTATGACAAAAACAATAATATACCTTCAGTCAAGACCCTGAGCATGACTTGAATGTCAAAGAGATTGATAAGGAAGGTGTCTGAAGACCAAAAGATTTAAGTTTGATATAAGCTTCTGCTTTAAAAAACTTCTTATTTTTATAAAATGCTTTCAAAACACTGTTGATGTGATGCTTGAAAGCAATGAAAATGCATTATTTACAGTGGAGGAAAAAAAACCCAGAGAGCTCTTCAATGAGTCGGAAAGAAAGAGAAGGGGCAATTTCACTTTCCTTTCTCAGTTAAAGCTTCTCAGTGCAGAGCAGAGAAATGAAATATATACTAAAAAACATGAGACTATCCAACAGCAGTGAGAGAGTATACCCCTAAGATAACATGATCATAGAGAGGAAAAGGTTCTTTTTGGCTGCACAGGTTTATTCTTATCTGTGTATGAAGCCATAATAGACGGAAGTGCTGATGTAGAACACTGAAAATGTTTACTGGGTCTCACAGATGAGAGGAAACTCAGCTAAAATAAAGATTTAACAAAGACACACATTTTTAAAAATGAGTAGTGGCAGACAAATAAGATGGAAATTATGTTCTGTATTATCTTATTTTATCATTGTTCTTAGAATTTGGGGGATCTTACATTGTCCCAAGTTTTCATTTCACCTGTTTGTCTAATTATATTATTCATTTGATTCAACACAATCACTGATTTACCAAAAATATAGATCTTATTTATCTAATCAAATAAAAACTGAACTTTTTTCTTCTTTTTAATGATATATACTGAAGCCTGCTCCCACCTTTACTCCATAACGCCTTTGTTGGTCTTTTTAAAAGCAAACTGCAGTAATTGTGTCTAAACACAAGAATACCCCCGTTCCTCACAGCACCTCATTGGAATTTGTACTTTGGAAATTACGAATATATTTAATACACAATGTTTCTCAACCACCTTATTTTTGAAATTGTAAAAATCAGGAAATAAAAGAAAAACCCTTCTACCAGCCACTGCTATTTATTTTTTTTAGTCTTCTGATATGTTTTATTGACACTATCAACACATAATATGGTCTTTCCTAACAGAACAGCTGAGGATTGAGTATTGACTTAATGCCGAGGGTACTCAGCTGCAGCGAGTGAGAGATTGCGAAAATCGCTGTATTTAATAAAGGGAAAATGTGGCAAGTCATATCAAGACATTTTTTAGTGGCTATGGAATTGTATTAGTGGAAAAATCTAAATATGTTGTTTTTTTATCAACAAGGAAGAATTTTTCAGGGTACATTAAAACAACTGCTGGGAACATTGTAAGTGAAAGAACTGTATGCAGTGTGTTTTGCTTTGTCAGTTGATAGTAAAGTCTAGGTATGTAGTGAATGTGTTGTCATGTCTTCAGTAGTTTCATTAGTAGTCTTTGTGTTTTTTTGTGAAAGTATACCTGATTAGATAATTTATGTTTTTATTCAAACTTTTGATTATCCTCTCTTGGAGCGCTTTTTGTTTATATGGAATAAATCTCTTCTGGATTCAACTGTTGTTACACTGTTCATGGTACAACCACTTACAGATCTGCACTTCTAAATGGTCATCTCATTTCAACATTCATCTTTTGTGTGCATTGTGCTAGAATGACATGTTTAACATTTTAGTTTGTTCGATAAATATTTATAGCGCACAAAATTGTTTCCTATAGTATGCCCTCAGCTTGATAAATGGTGAGAACAGCGTTTTCTTTAGACAAGCTGGCAAAAAAGTTAGAGAATCAATAGAAAAACTAAACCGATTCTCACTTTTGTCTTTCCCTCATCATCTAGTGTGTCATTTTCAAGAATCTCCAGATGACCTTTCCATGTTACTTTGTCTGAGTGAACTACTCAAACTTACTGTCATTAGGCTAAACAGTGTCAGGAGAGCTTCTCTCTCTCAAATAATAATCTCTCTCATTTTCAATGAATATACAAACAGTATACACAATGAGGAGCAGAGCCATCATTGTGAAGATGACCTTTAAAAGACTTAGGGTGGATTTGGAAAGACAAATCATTAGTGACAAAAAACTCATTTTCTTCAGGCCCAATAATTAACCACACATTCAACAACAATGATAATGCATACTTTCATGATAGAGGGTTGGAATTGCTGAATTTAATAAAGTTAAACATGTCAAGTACAGCAGCAGAACAGGGCTGCGCTGTGGAAATGGGAAAAGACATTAAGACTCAACCGATGTAGTCTGTACAATCAAGTGTAAGTTTGCCACATTCACATATTATACCCCGGCAGTTTGGGTTAAATGCACAGCGCGGTCAAACCGTGGTAAAAGTAATGTCCAACCATACATGGATTGAAGCGGAACACCTGATGTTGAGAAAAGTATGACCACCAAAGTGATGATGTGGACTGTGTAAGGAACATTTTTACAATTACTGTACTGCTAGATTGGCTCCGTTCTCTCGAGGAGACCATTAGAAATATTAAAACAGCCAGAATCACTGTTGTTTAGAGATTTCCATAATGTTTCACCCCAAAAATGAAAGAAAAATAGTTAATGACAGCTTTTTGTTTCTGTTCAACAACATTAACATACACACAAACCTGATGGTTTTTACATTAATACAGAAATTTAGAGCAATTTTGGACTTCCAGGTATAAAACTTCGAAAACTTTTAAATAACTCCCAAATCTGCCTGTACAATCTGCACATAGTGCAGTTAATTTTGCCATGGGTTTCAGTGCGGTCTTAGACATCCATATGCATCACAACTGGAAAATACTCCAAAAGTGGGAACACTTGCCTTGTTTTTACATTTAAAGTTTTCTCTGTAGTCAAGTTTAAGCAGTTTTCTTACACTCCAAGTGGATCACAATGGCTCTCTCTATAGATCGAGGCACATTTTCTGCCATCACAGTGCAATTGCAAAAGCAATTCAAAGTGAATGAGTCCATTAACATTTTGAAAGTGTTGCAGATTACACACAATTTGAACAACACTCATTGCAGGTCAATTAATGTCTTGGTGTGATCTAGTTAGCCTGAATTAGCTTAGACATAACACTGCTAGATGGTTGGGCAAAAGAAACATGGAGAAGAACAATTAAAAAAAGAAAAAGCCCCTAAAGGCTGATTACGAGTCTTAGCTTTCAGTCACAAATTGTGCCGTGTTCAGTGTTGATGAGGAAACAGCTGCGGTTGACTTCAAGGGCTGGAAAAAAATAGCATCCTTAAAATCTCATTGAACGGCTGTCAATCAGACGACATGTCAAAAATGGACTTCCATTTTGGTCGTCAAAGGGCTTTCTATCTTTGACTCTGGCCTTTCTTTGTCTATGTGTCTCCTTAGCTGTCTGCCTTCCTCAGCTTTCTGAAAATTGAAGAATGCAGAAAGAATGGCCCACAAACAGCTTTACAAAAACGGCGGAATGAAAATGGGGCTGTTAAAACCTCTTGGCCATCCTAATGCTCATCCTATTGACATTATTGATTTCCTTTCTGCCGGCATCCTCATAGCCCTAAGGAAGGGAGAGTATCTGCTTCGCCCCACTGTGATGGTCAGCAAAGTCAGTTTGAGCAGATATATGTACCAAAACAATTCTAATGCCGGCGCAAACACACTCACAATCCAGACGGAAACCGACCCGTGCTTAAAAGCAGCAGTGACCAAAGCCCCAACTTCAAACTGCTCTCACATCAAGCCCTGCCAGTCAGAGAAGAGATCAGCTTTCAGACGGCACAACAAACATCTTCTCCCTCTGCCTGTCTGCTAAGACTATTTCCCTCTTCACTTTTTTTTTTTTCTGAAGTCAGCCACAGGCTCTGACCTTGAGGAACATCCTCCAATTGACTGTCCACACAGACAAATCTTCCTACTTAATGAGAGCATGTCATTTGTTAGCCAGCACCATTAGCCCCAGATTCAGTCTCTAAAATCAACCCGAGAGAATATGTTGACCTTTGTATTCGATACCATAACACACTGACAGTTGAAATAAAGGGAAAAAAGTAAAGCAGTTGTGCGCAGTGAGTTGCAGATACATTTCGAAATTTAGATCCTACTGCACGCACGGAAGATGTTCCTCAACGGTATGTACATGATAAGTTAGACGTTTATTTGTCGTACAACGGAGAATTAAAAAAACTCAGTCAATGCATTAATTCTCAAATATTACAAAGTTAAAAGGAATGGAATTCGTGATAGAAGTGGCTGGCAGAGGACTCAAGATCATATGCCAAACCAACCACAACTTTATCCATCTATTTATTTACTTACAAATACAATGCGAGCTTGCAAAGGGGCCGGAGCCTATAACAGATGCTCACTGGTAAAAGGCAGAGTACCCCCCAGAATGGTCACCCTGGACAGGAAACCATCACAGGGTTCTAAAGAACCATGCACTCGATTACTAACTCCTATGGTCAATTCAAAATCACCAACTGTAATTAACCTAAAAGTGGTGTTTTGAGAATGGTGGGAGGAAGTCGGAGTTCCTTAAGAGTGTTTAAGGAGAACATGCAAACCATGAGATAAATGTATTACTCCAGCATTGAGAACTTCTATCAGTTAAGAAGCTGAATGCAGAAGTGTCATATCATGGAAATAACAACAAATTCTTGAACTTGAACACAAATTGATCTGAGAAGAGAGGTATACCTTCTTGATTATTCAAATATTCTGATACTGTCCAAATTTAACCTCTTATTAATATGTTTTTTTTAATATTGGTAATCTTTCTATATAACAAGATGAATAGAAACAGTGACAGTGGGATTATTTCAGTGCCACAAAACCTTCCCCTTTTCATTTGAAAGTAAAATTACACTGTGTTGCTGCTGACAGGCAGAAATTATTCTGCAACCAACTATAAACATTGAAATTAGCCACCTGGCACAGCCATGATACCAGCTGCATTATTGACCATGTCCGCTACACTGCTGGCTGATTTAATCACCAGTATGTTAACAGGGTAAGGCAGATTTTCTGAAAACTAAGCAGTGAAAAACAGTTGTGGAATGCCCCGTGGACTTTCACGAGGTGTTCAGAAAATTGGCCTTCACACTTGATACCGGTGTTTTATGTGTGGTTGTTCACCCCCTTATGGTAGGGACACAAAGAAGGAACATTTAGGGTTATTCCTTATGGTTATCCTAATTTGATAAGGAACAGATTCAGATTTCAGATTCAGATTTATTTTTCTCTTACAGAGAAAAGTGGGGAAAAACAAAATTACAAATATATTTTTTTCTTTGAACTGTCTACACTATCAATATAAAAAAACAAAAAATAGATAAAAAATGTAAACGGGAGCATTCATATAGTATACATAACTAATCGCTACCTGAAAACATCAAAAGGTTACTCTTCTTGTCCTTTAAGGCAGACTTCATCATACTTGAAACAAAATAACAGAAAGCAAACCCAGGCACTTCCTCTGCAAAGTGTCAAAGTGACGACAGCAGGAAACTGATATTGAAAAAGCATCTCACCTGAGTCATGAGCCTTTTATCTTCACAATGAGACGTGGACAGATACGTGGTCTTTTTTCTGTTTTTGTATTTGAACTTCAAATTCTAAAGCCTTTCAAAAAGGAAAAAAAAAAAAGTTTTCTGATGGCCATTCATCGACCTATCCAAATGGAACTATTGTTTGGAGGGAAATCTCAGAAGTGACCATGGCCTTGTGGTCATCACATTATGAGGCAGATGATATCTGTATTGTAAGAGGTCTCTCAGACTTTCCCACCAGTTCGACCATCCTCTAACTGAATACTATCCATTAGTGAACCGGCACCATGAGCAAAGAATCTATAAAACAAGGGAATCAAACATGGTCAACAAAACAACATCTTCTCAGTTTATCAGCAACATTTTACACATGCAAACAGTCACCAAATACACTGCAGGCAATTTAACTGAGTTTAGAAGTAGTTGGACATTGCAAGTCAAGCCAGTTTTTACAATGACATTATAAAGATTTCAATGGGTATCGACAGGGGTTCGTTATGATGAAGTTATTGAGAAAACACTTCTGAATTCAAAACATCAAGCTTGCAGACAATTCACATCTCAAAACTAAAAGCTCAAACAGTGATTTAAACTCCCAGCACGAAAGATTTTTTTTTTTGTTCAAATACATCACATAGTATGTTGGTATTGTAAGGTGTGCACCTAAATCCAGGATTAAGGGGCTGTCCACAGTAGTCGCTCTTCACTGAATTGCTCAAATCCATGATATTCTAGTTTTCTTTTTCTTTCTATAGCGACAGCAGGCGAATAACAACTGAAGTGCATTCTCATTTCACTATTACAAGTAAATTATTGCTCACCATGCAAAACTACAGCAGACAGAGACTGCAATATCAATCGCTAACAAAGAAAATGGATAGAAATTACAGAGAAGAATTATGACTGACATGACATAGGTGTTGAAATGAGTGTAAGAGACAGCAAGCACAACCAAATAATGCACAAAGGCATGGATTATTTCGAAACAAAACAATCAAGTTGGCTCAGAAAATCCAGAGGGAAAGATTTTCTCAAAACAAACTGGAGAACGTATAATACAGAAGCACATTTATGTCTAAAACGTTAAGATAAAAGCTGAATGTGCCATGGTCTGGTCATTTTATATACTGTTCAATACATGGCAAAGAATATAAAAACTACATTTTCAAGTGCAAAAAGTGCAGTGTACATGAAGGGAAAATTGGAAAATACTCTAAAAGGCATCTTTTATTTGTCATTTGTATCTATAGTGACAGTTATTAAAAAGTTTGTTGTCCTTATCTGCAAATCTAAAACTATTACTAAGCTGGGTTACGATTTCCTTCAGTATACACATAAAAATTGTTCAAACAGCAATTTGTCCTTGAGTTTGTTCAAATTTAGGAAAGACAATACCTGTCAGAATAAAATAGTAAATGGGCTTTGTGTTATCTACTAAACCTTTTCATGATGTGAAGTCTTAGAAAAAAAGAAGATAAAGAACGGCATTCCTTTTCTCACTTCCACACTTCAAATGGAAAGGTCTAGGTCAAGATTATCTAAATTACGTTGCATCAAATTCTTCTAAAACTGCTGAGTTGACACAAAATCAATCACCTCGATCCACATCCACAACTATTTTTATTTACTAATAATAATACTAACTAAATTTGTTTCTAAATATACATATTTTTACTGCTTCATTAGTGACTTATATATTCTATTTTAAACCAAGTCAGCTACAAGGTTGTGTCCAAAGAATGGGACTACATATACAAATGAAAAGGGGCAAACTGTCAACCTAAGAGGGCCTATTTCATTAATTCGTTAAATATCCCTTTTTAATTACTTTTATATATTTTTGTCTCTCTTGTGCGAGATTAATAAATCACTGGTTCCCATGAGAAGGGACCTGCTTATATGGTGTGATCCCCCTTTAACCTAGCTGTAAGCCATTCTCACCTGTCAGTACAGTGCCAAATTGTACATTTTTGTGAGGGTGAATGTTTGTGTGTTTTCATGCTTTCAAACGTGTGCTGGTATTCAGACGTTTTCTCCGTGACTGTGTCACGGAGATCTGTACGTATGAGGGGGTATTCAGTTATTTTTCATACAAGAAGAAACACATTTTCTTGCAACTTTTGTCAACAGCCCTAAGCCATTCAAATTAATATCTTTCTCAGTCTCCGTTTAATCCTTTCTTTTCCGAGTGCATACACACACAAACACACACACACACACACATTAGGTTTCAAAACATAAAAGTAAGCGTAGAATTGTTTGCAGTTGCTGGATTAATGATTGTGTACAATACAAAGACATGTGATCTTTTTTTTTTTCAGAATGTGTGGCCTGTATTATTTGCACAGTGTGCCACTCCAACTTTCAAACTTTGGCATGAAGCTTTCATAGTTTGGACTTTTTTTATACTTTCTCAGATCTATTTGAACTGTGCAGCATGGCTTCATGTTGAATTCAGTTAGCTGTGCTGGTCTATATTTTAATGAGCTTCCAACTTAAAAATGAGTTGAATTGTGAATATGATCTGAATAGTTAAAAAAAGACAAACCTGACATTGTGCCAGATTGACAAAAGAGTTGATGTTTTTCTTTCTAAATGACGGCGATGAAACAAAACTGTCTACTGGGGGATTTTTCGGGGCAAACAAATAAATCAAACAACCGAGGGGAATTGCTGGCATTGACAAAATGGCTTCATAATTTATGTTGTGTCTGTACATTTGAAATATTACGTTGTATTGTGTTATTGTAATAATGACAATGTGACAAAAAATGATATTTCCCATCTCTTGATTGACAGTGACATAGTCTACAGAAGGTTCATTCACTGAAATGACCTTAACATCCTCACAAAGGAAATGAAGCTAACTGCCTTGGTAAGGAGGTGTTGGTGAGTTCAAATGACCATAATTCTTCAAAAGTTTGTAATTATAAAGGACAATCTTTTAACTATAAAGCTAAATATGATCATCAGACGAACACTTAACTTAATGTGTAGGTACTAAAATTATACACGACTAGTATTAATATATTTTACAACTGTGGTTGATTTTAGTAGTGTCAGTCACACGTTCTATAAAAATGTCAGAATTATTGTTCATAAATATAAGCATTTCTTTTCAGACAATACAAAGTACAGAAGAAACTGCACATACTTTAAAAACCCAATGTGCCATGACTTCAATTTCCTGCGTCTGGAGAAAGTAAAAAAAGTCCCTAAATATTTAAAGACATGTACACAACAGCTTTTAGAGAAAAAAGCCTTAGACTCAAGCTTCTCCATAAATTGTAAATACATGTTGTTTAGGTTAGTAGGTGAGTCCAAATTTAAATTGGTGGGATGTGCAGTCATATTCCTTATTTATCAGTGTTGCAACTGTGAAAAACGGACAACATGTTGACCCACAGCCTGCAGATCTATGTGGCTGAGATAGAATTTAGCAACCTGAACAGGATAAACAGGAATGAAACATGAATGAATGAAAGCATATGACTTTTTTTTTTCAAATGACATTCACAAACGTCATAAAAGTGATGGAGTTGGAATGGGGATATTATTTCATTTTCTTTTTTGTGTGTGTTTTTTTGTCCTGTTCAGCATTATAGCGGTAGATCTGGAATCTGAGTAAAGTGCTATGCTGGGGATTATTTTAAGAGGTAATTCGCTTTATGTATTCACATCAAACACTTGAATGAGTCGTGGACCTGTGATCTCTGTTTTCAGCTATTTGGATCCTTAGTTTTGTTCAAAGGCTGAAACTAAATTTCAGCCTCAAGTTCTTTTGAGTGTGTGTGCGTGTGTTTGTGTGTATGAAGCACCGCACAAAACACGCCAAAAGTTAAAGGGCTGATAAAACTCTTTTTGCCTTTAGACACTGGTAAAAACTGCAAGCTTCTTTTGTCAACTGTCAAAATAAGTTTGAGTTAAAATCAAACAGTAAAAAAAGGTCTTAAATCCATGCAAATTAAACATAGGAAAATTTGACAAGACAATTTTAATCCACAAATATATTAACGTGTGAGCAGGCAAACTGGCATAGATGTACACATTGTTAAACAGTGTGTGGATACATGCACATTGTTTGAGATCCACGGTGCATTTGGGGAAATGCAACACATTTTTATTGTCAAGTCTGACAATGAAAGCTGGCTCATCATGTCATTTGGTGATTAAGCCTCTGTGAACTGGCTGTTTCAGAAAGAGAGGCATATAGCCCCACATGCAGGGAACAGACTCTATCCCACTCCCTTGCCTTACCTCATTTTGCCAGTTAAAGCCCAACTCTCCCCTGTATCCTTCTTTCAGGCTTGGCCAAGAGAGTGTTTAGAAAACAGTGTGTAGTGCTCTGTTATCCCCGCATACCGCCTTGCGGGTCTGCAGATGCGTAATTTTCTCACAACAAGGGTTCCCATGATAGCTCTCTGCTTTGAGTGGCTATTAATGCCCTTTCTTGCTCAGTGGTTTGTCAAATGCATT